GCTGTCAGAAAACACAACCTACTTTCGCAGGAGATTACATGAGATGGGCTTTATCATCTATGGGAACAATGACTCCCCTGTTGTACCCTTGATGCTCTACATGCCAGCTAAAATCGGGTCAGCCTCACTTTTTGTTTAACTGAATCATGGCTATTGTATTTGATGATATGCTCTCGCCAGAGGATATGTTTTTATGTTTTGTTTTTTGATGATTTAACAAAAAATTTACTTGATTTTGCAGACTTTGTTTTTATGAATTTATTTATTTTGTATACTGTTGTTTAGAGCATTTGGGCGGGAGATGCTGAAGAGGAACATTGGGACAGTGGTGGTTGGGTTCCCTGCTACACCCATCATTGAGTCCCGAGCTCGTTTCTGTGTTTCTGCCGCCCACACGAGAGAGATGCTCGACACAGTGAGTATCACATGTACACTAGTAAAACAATAATTGTAAAAAATAATGACACAAAATTGTCTTAATTTTCTGTATTATAATTTATTTTTGTCTTTTCATTTTGATTTTGGGGTAAAATAGTACTTTGTAGGGAAGGCCATTTCCGCCACTGAATAAAAAAAATATAAAAAGGTAATTGCAACTTTTCATCTCCCAATTCTGACTTTTTCACGCAATTGCGAGTTGTAAAGTCAAGATATTAACTCGCAATACTAAATATTTTTTTCTTGCAATTGTGAGTTTACATCTCGCAATTCTGATTTTTTTTCTCAGAACTTCAGGATACAAAGTCGCAATTGCATGTTATAAAGTCAGAATTGTGAGATATAATCTTGCAATTGCGAGTTCTAAAGTGTTTGTATCCGACAATTCACTTTTTTCTCACAATTCTGACTTTTTTTCTCCGAATTGTGAGATATAAATTCGCAATTGCGAGTTATCAAGTCCAATTGTGAGTAAAATAAGACTATTTCCTTACAATTGCGAGATAATATCACACAGTTCTGACTTTATATCTCGTAATTCTGACTTTGTAACTTGCCATTGTGAGTTTCTAACACGTAATTAAAAAAAAAAGTCTGAATTGTGAGATGAAAATTTACGATTACCTTTTTTAATTTTTTATATTCGGTGGCGGAAACAAGCTTCCATATCTATGAGATATTTCATGAGCTTCACTAATAAGTCTATTAGTGTATTAGGCAAAAGGTAAAAAGAAAACGTAAAATGTAAAACACAATCATTTACTTGTGGCTTACTTTTTCAACTTCCAAACTAGGCCTGGGCGATAAAACGGTATCGATATTTATGGACGGTACACCTTCATCGATAACGATATAAAAATTGTTCGATATAGCGCATGATATAGGTACATGCTATGACAGCTCACACAAACACGAACACATGCTGAATTGAGTGCTGTGCCTGCCTGTGATGAGGAGATTGGGAATAAAAAAATTATATTAGTCGAATTTAAAATAAACATTTGCATTTGAATGTTGAGTCAGGGAGCGTCATCAGTGGTGCACGAGATGCGGTGATGATGTAAGTGACTTTGCATTTGAATGTTTTGTTAGTCTAGCCCACGAGATGCGCCGCTGCTGTGTTATTCGTTCAAACTATTAGAGAAATATAGTAGCTCAATGTGTAGAAGATCTTCATTAGGTTAAAACCGAAACCAAGCCATTCACACAGAACGCATATTCAGCAGATTTTTATACGGACAAATATGACTGCTGCACTTGCGTCTCATGCAAGAGATGCAAAGAAAGTCATGCAAAGTTAAAACAGTTTTAACTTTAGAAAACGCGACGCGAATTTTTGAAGGTTCATTTCATTTCATATGTTTTTAAATGCAATCTGTGTGATCGGCGATTTGGCTCTTTGTTTTAGGCGAAGCAATGCATAAACACATGATGCTGTTTTGTTCATAATTGTTTATGCAGTTTACAAAATTATATTTTATGGAAGCCCGTTTCCGCCACTAAATAAAAAAATATAATTCTGTAAGTCATAATAATGAGAAACTTTCTCAAAATTATGACTTAGTATCTCGTTATAATGAGAAACTTTCTCGTAATAATGACTTAGTTTCTCGAAATAATGACTTATTTTCTCATAATAATGACTTAGTTTCTCGTAATAATGAGAAACTTTCTCATAATAATGAGTTAACCTAATCCAAAAAAAAAAAAACACTTCCTCGCCGCCTGCAGAACGCAAGAGTGACAGCACGCTAGCGCCATCTGTTGGTCAAAGCCATGCAGGAACACCGCTAACATTGCATGTGATGCATGAATAAAGTGTATCATGCTATAGTCTGTCATTAAATAACGATTTCATTTCTTATTTTTTTGCATGTTTGTCACACTTTAATGTTTCAGATCATTGTTGCGCCCTCGATAGCATGTTAAAAAAAATAATATATATATATAATTTAGGGATGCACGATATATCGGCCACCATATCGGTATCAAGAATAATCGGTTATCGGTATCGGCCAAAATTTTCATATCGGTGCATCCCTAATATAATTTGTTGTTTGTCTTAATAAAGTGGGAAAATTAAAAATACAGTGGTTAAATTTAAACATTTTTTTCTATTGCTCTGTTTTGAAAAAGGTTATAAAAAATTTCAATAATTATCGATACCGAACGATGTGAAAAATATATAGTTGATTGTTAACCTCACAGCTAATGTTTTCAAACCACAAGAAGCAACGGAGACAAAAATCAGTGTTCCTATGCTTCAGTTATTCATTTATGACTCACCTCACAGTCAACTAGAGTACATAAACATTAAAGGAATAATTCATTCCCAAAATAAACATCCTGTCATCATTTAGCAATTACTCAACATCATGTTTTACCAAAGGCACCATATTATTCCTCAACCAAACATTTATTCAAGTGTTAATAACCCTTGTGTCTCTTCCTGACTCTCTCAGGCTTTAAATGCCATCAGTGAAGTTGGAGATCTACTCCAGCTGAAATACTCCAGAAAAAACAGACATGGGAGTGAAGGAACTGACCTTTTTTCATATCTGGAGAGCCACCAGGACTAGCACTTTGTCATGATGGACTGAAGTATCCTTCTTCCCTCCCAAAGGGATTTATGTCATACTAAAGCATCATTTTCATGTTGATTAATTTCAGTGGTAACTCATTGAAGCCCACCAACTGACCGAATTTCAAGTCTTACCTTTGGGTTAAGTAACCAATATTAATTTCATCGTGCAATATCAAAAGACTCCACATCATTGTGTTCAGCATTAGAAATGACACAGGATAAAAGTTAATGCCTTGGTGTCAGGGCTAATTTATCCTTCTACACAGTCTGAAAAAAATGAGAGTACACAAAATGATTTTCTGATATTTTATACAAATATGATCAGTGTTTCTGTCTTGTTTTCCATTAAAATATGTTAAATAAGATGAATTCACTTAGGGTTAAGGTTAGATAATAGTCTTTTTACTCCATTTGCAAACAATGTTTTTAATACATTTAGTAAGATTTGCACTTTAAACGAAAAAAAAAAAAAAAAACAACAATACGCCAATGGAGGACAATAAACTTAATTCAAGACATATATTGTCTGAGAAGTCTTATTATATTACAGATTTACTTTCAAACTAGTAAAGATTTAAGCAAAATTGAAGGATATTTAGATTTTTACTACGAACAAGACAGAAATCCTGATTAAGAAAATGATTTTTTCAGTGTACAGGAAAACAGTGACCCCCACACTGGCATATATTTAAAGAAATCTACTTATGAAGGACAGAAATGATTATAAACTTAGAAAATTAGAATGTGACTTCATATCCAGATGAATGTATCTATAAAAAATATTGACATATATTTATTAATGCACATTGCAGTGTGTCTGCATTTAACTTATAGCTTTGCGTAAGTCCACAAATCTTCAAATATCAAATTGTATTTATTAATTTTTTTTCCACAATGCAAATATCACCACGTAGGTAAATCAGCGATGTCTTAATGAACTTGTCCAGAGGAATATTAACAACATTCTCTGTTTTGTTTCATCAGAACTTTCCAGTATGGAAAATTATGATGATGTTTTCTGTATTTTAATTTGAGTTGTGGTACTTTCCACGAATAGGGTACAGTTTGGTGTCCCTTATTTGTATCCCTTTTTTTTTTTTTTTAGTTTAGTAAGCACTAGAGGAACAAAGCCCATTCATTAGCCCATACATCTCCAAACATTATTTCGACAGTTTGTAGTTTTTCATTTAATATTTATTGATAAATAGAAAAAATAACAATCACATAAATCCTGGGTCTGTTGAACTGTATTTACACATGTCCCAAATTTTGGTAATAACGTTTTAAAAACTGCAAACCTCATAAACATAACATTAATATTTAGTTTGACATTTTCTGAAGGTTATGCCTTACACTCACCATCTGTTTAAAAATGCATCTTTTCCCCATCATTTCAGGACTTAATTTGTACTCTATTTTTGGAAGGTGCCTTTACTTCTTAGCCAGGGCATTTCACAAAGGCAGAAATCTTCATTGAGCCAACAGAAATCGACTGACATTGTTCAATGTTCAACGTTTCATTCTTTATGTCTGCTGTTAACACACAGCATTGAAAATGTTTGTTGCCTTTTGTATTGTTATATAGTTGCTTTTTGATTTGCTCATTTTAAGAGATCTTTTTTAAGAATTTGTGTTCTTCTAACAAAAGTGCTAAATACGGGTCACTGATATGATATGAAATGAGCTCTTGTCTGTATGTATGATGATGTGGCTTATGAATGCCTGTCGGATGTACATTTCTTTTCACCGTAATGTTTTTTTTTTTTCTCCATTCCCTATTGTGTTTTTTGAGTCTTGTTCTTAATCTGAAAGGCAGCTCTAATTATGTCTCTAAAAGCAGACATATTTAAGTGGGATTATATGATCTCAGAGCTACTAATGACTGTTAAGAGATGCAGATATGACGTCGGCACACTGGCTTTAAGCAGCCTGTATAAATGCAAGTAATGCCACTGAGCTGCATTTGACTGTGAAACCAAAGGGCATTCCACAGTTTTTCTTTGTTTGTTTCTTATACATTTTGAGTTGCATTTTTTTTCATCAGAAATCACATTTGTCGCACTTCTCCATGCAAGAAACTGAAATTCGTTGAACGTGACTGATCATTTGTTTCTGAAGATAATTAAATAACTTATATTGAACATTGTTTTCTCCAATAATTCATTGTAGGTCATTGTAATCAAATCTCAGAATAAGCACAGCAATCTTTGCTCTTACTGGTTTTATAAACCAAGACCAATATTTTACTCAATAGTCGTATTCAGACTGTATGACATTTATGTAAGGTATATTCAGTGAAAAGTTTAGTTACATTTATTTCATTATTGAAGACAAATAAGACTAAATAAAATTCCACCTACTTTATCTTAAAAACTTAAGTTCAGATGCTGCCTTAAAGTATAATCAAATTGGCAAGTTACAAGGCGTTTAGACTTAAATTATATTAAACCGCTTATAAAAATCGAGTTAAATCTCATCTTTAGAAATTAAAGTTGAAATTGGTTAAATTATTTTAATGAGTTATTAATGGAAAAAATTATACCATGACTTAAAGGGATAGTTCACCCAAAAATGAAAATTCTGTCTTTAATTACTCACCCTCATGTCGTTTCAAACCCGTAAGACCTTCGTTCATCTTCTGAACACAAATGAAGATATTTTTGATGAAATCCGAGAGCTTTCTGACTCTGCATAGACCACAACGCAACTACCACATTTAAAGCCCAGAAAGGTAGTAAGGACATTGTTAAAATAGTCCATAGGGCCTTACGCACCGCTTTAGTTCCAGAACTAAATGTACGGTACTAAAGTACTGGGACGATTTTGCGCGAACTATTTCCCAGTACCATTTAAAAGGTTGCATTCGCACCGACAATGTGTACTAGGAACCGGTCGACAGCATCGTCATTTGTGCGCGGGGTTCAACAACAGAAACAACATTAACAACAGGAGGACGGAGGACGCTGTGATCGGAGCTGTGTTTTTGTTGTGTCTTGCGGGTTTCACAATAATGGACCCTATTGTGTTTTTTGAGTCTTGTTCTTAATCTGAAAGGCAGCTCTAATTATGTCTCTAAAAGCAGACATATTTAAGTGGGATTATATGATCTCAGAGCTACTAATGACTGTTAAGAGATGCAGATATGACGTCGGCACACTGGCTTTAAGCAGCCTGTATAAATGCAAGTAATGCCACTGAGCTGCATTTGACTGTGAAACCAAAGGGCATTCCACAGTTTTTCTTTGTTTGTTTCTTATACATTTTGAGTTGCATTTTTTTTCATCAGAAATCACATTTGTCGCACTTCTCCATGCAAGAACCTGAAATTCGTTGAACGTGACTGATCATTTGTTTCTGAAGATAATTAAATAACTTATATTGAACATTGTTTTCTCCAATAATTCATTGTAGGTCATTGTAATCAAATCTCAGAATTAGCACAGCAATCTTTGCTCTTACTGGTTTTATAAACCAAGACCAATATTTTACTCAATAGTCGTATTCAGACTGTATGACATTTATGTAAGGTATATTCAGTGAAAAGTTTAGTTACATTTATTTCATTATTGAAGACAAATAAGACTGTAAATAAAATTCCACCTACTTTATCTTAAAAACTTAAGTTCAGATGCTGCCTTAAAGTATAATCAAATTGGCAAGTTACAAGGCGTTTAGACTTAAATTATATTAAACCGCTTATAAAAATCGAGTTAAATCTCATCTTTAGAAATTAAAGTTGAAATTGGTTAAATTATTTTAATGAGTTATTAATGGAAAAAATTATACCATGACTTAAAGGGATAGTTCACCCAAAAATGAAAATTCTGTCTTTAATTCAATGTGTACTAGGAACCGGTCGACAGCATCGTCATTTGTGCGCGGGGTTCAACAACAGAAACAACATTAACAACAGGAGGACGGAGGACGCTGTGATCGGAGCTGTGTTTTTGTTGTGTCTCGCGGGTTTCACAATAATGGACATGGAAAGTCGACGTATATGTAAAGCGACTGAAAGAACGGAAAGGAGGACTAAGAATCTCCAACGACAACTGGCAGTGCTACATTTGCTACAAGTGCCTGCACTTCAGCGTCCGTCCGTCTATCGCTGTTCTCCATACTTGCGAAATAAGTTGACACTATGTTTACGCGGTGTTTTAAATCATGGCGGGTGAGGGCGTTTTCGTACGCGTTTGGCCAATCAATGTCTACTTGCGTCACGATTAGTACCAGTTGTGCTGGTTAGACCCTGCTCCGGAGTAGGAGCTAATTTGGTTCTCGAAAAAGGCAGTCCGGTACTAAAAAAGCACCCAGTTCCGGCGGTGCGAAAACGACAAAAAGTGGGTAGTTCCACTATTAGTTCTGGTACTATGAAAAGGTTCCTGCGGTGCGAAAGGCCCTCATGTGACATCAGTGGTTCAACCGTAATGTTATGAAGCTACGAGAATACTTTTTGTGCGCAAAGAAAACAAAAATACAGACAACATCATGGTACTCTCGTGAATGGTGGCGGACACTGACAAGGAAGAGAGGAATTGTTGACAATGGCGGCTCGTCAGGGGTCGCACAGCTTCCCCATAATTTTGAGGTGAAAATTGGAGGAGGACGATTTAATGTTAATATAATTCACAATTAATTTCAGTTCATGTCTCAGAATGTGTATTTTTTGTTTGTAATTTCACAGTTGTAATAAAATAATGTGAAAGCGCCGCTTTTCTATCGCGAATGTGCCGAATCTGCTGATGTAATTGCAACCACTAATGATAGAGAAGGGGAGGGGAGGCCGGGGGAGAGCTGAGCTCTAGTGCCTCCGTTGGTAAAAAAAAAAAAAAGCCAATCAGCATCGAGTGTTCACTTTCAGCGCTGAGGAGTGTTGAGAAAAGACCCCTTGCTAGGGTGGCTAGCCTCCCTTCTCATATCAACCAATCATCACAGAGGCGTAAATTACGTGATATTAGTTTGAACGTCTCCCGCTGCGCTGATAATGTACCAAGTACTTATGATGAGTAGCGATATTGAATATTTGATCGCCAACAGATTTACCAAGCTGTCATTCAACTTTAGGGAAAACAGCCTAAGCTGGATATAGGCTACAGCAGTCGACTTAATTAAATGGCACAACAGACAGCTCTCTTTTAACACAGACTTTTAAGAAGTGATGGATGTTTGCTTCAAGTGATCGGCCAGGTAAGTGAAATTATATTATCTTGCTGTATGCATGTCGTTTTCTGTACGTTTTCTGACTAAAAGCAACCAAAAAGCCGTTTTAGAGTGGTTAAGCAAATTATAATACCAGTAATAATAAGCGGCAGGGATCCCAGACCAATACAATTAGTGTGCCTCCTCTATTTTAAAACCCACGAGCCGTCACTGATTGTTGAATAAAGTTATTTTTGTTTTGGCGCACAAAAAGTATTCTCTTATAGCTTTATAACGTTACGGTTGAACCACTGATGTCCAGTGTTGGGGGTAACGAGTTACGTAATCAGATTACTTTTTTCAAGTAACTAGTAAAGTAACGCATTACTTTTTAATTTACAAGAGAATATCTGAGTTACTTTTTCAATTTATTGACTGACAGCTCTTCTGTCCCCATGTTGAGAGAAATCAGTTACTGTAAATGTTACTGTAGTAAATAAATAAATAAAATATGAATATGCATTAATTAATCTCTCACAAAAAAAAACAGATTCAGTATTCCTCAAAATGAATACAAATAATGCAACTCAGAATATGACGCAAACCTGCAATAATTAAATGTTAAACAACACAAATATGCTTTATGTATTTAATCCCGTTCTATTAACCAATGTCTTTGCTTCTGACCTTCGATGATCCAGTTCAAGCGTACTAATAAGCACAAATTACTCTAGACCAACATTTGTGTCTTTGTTTATTGCTGAAGTGTGTTGAAATGTCTTCTGCGCTCTACTGTACGGACGGAAATTTACATTTCCTTCAGCCTGAGGCTTATTCATTTCACTTTTGTCGTGAAAAGGCTTTTATAATTGCCAAAAATATAACTTTTTTTATTTAAAAAAACAAACAAGCAAGCCCTGTCCAGATTGAAAAAGTAACGTAACGCATTACTTTCCATAAAAAGTAACTAAGTAACATAATTAGTTACTTTTTTATGGAGTAACACAATATTGTAATGCATTTTAAAAGTTACTTTCCCCAACACTGGTGTAATAATTTACTTATTTGTAAGGGAATTAATCATTATT